GGCGGCGAGGGCGCGGGGCGCGCTGGGAAATGGAGTCCCGCGGGGCTGTGGGGGAGACCGTGCGCGGCCGGGGTTGGGTGAACGGCTCTTGCCTGGGTCACGGAATCACAGGGTCGATTAGATTGGAAAAACCCTCAGAGATCATCGAATCCAACCTATGACATAACACCACAGTGTCGACTAGACCATGACACTAAGTGCCACATCCGGTCTTTCTTAAAAACCTCCAGGGACGGTGGCTCTGCAACCTCTCTGGGCAGCACATTTCAATATCTAATCACCATTTCTGTGGAGAAATTCCTCTTCGAGTCCAACCTAAACCTCTCCTTGCACAGCTTGAGGCTGTCTTCTCATCCTATAACCGGCTGCATGGGAGAAGAGGCCAACCCCCACCTGGCCAAAACCTCTATTCACTTACTGTGAGCAATAAGGTCAGCCCTGAGCCTCCTTTCTCCAGGCTAAACAACCCCAGATCACTCAGCTGCTCCTCACAGGACTTGTGCTCCAGGCCCTTCACCAGCTTCATTGCCCTTCTCTGGACTCACAGAATCACAAAATCACTAGGTTGGAAGAGACCTTCAAGATCATTGAGTCCAACCGATGCCCTAATACCTCAACTAAACCATGGCACTCATTCCAGCCCTTGTCCTTCATACAGTGAGAACCCCAGAGCTCAACACAGGATTTGAGGTGCAGCATCACCAGTGCGGAGCACAGGGAGACAATCTCTGCCCTGGTCCTGCTGGCCTCACTGTTGCTGATACAGGCCAAGATGCAGTGTCCTTCTTGGCCACCTGGGCACAGCTGGCTCATGTTGAGCCACTGTCAACCAGCACTCCCAGCTCCTTTGCTGATCCCTGGCTCCTTTCCCCTCTATTTTCCCCCCAAAACTGTGCTGCAGGCAGCAGTGGAGCCCTGTCCACTTCAGCCACTCAGTACAGATCCACGTTCCAGACCCACCTGGAGCTGCACACACCACCTTACTGCCCTACCCATGCACTCCAGTTTCCAGCTTCCTCATCCACCTCAACACAAGAGCTTCTTTATGCTGAGGGTGCCAGAACATTGGAACAGGCTCCCCAGCAAGGTCATGGGCTCTCCCTCTCCGGAGACATTCGAAACCCACCTGGACACGTTCCTGTGTCACCTGCTCTAGATGACCTTGCCATGGACTAGATGTTCTCCAGAGGTCCCATCCAACCCTAACTATTCTATGAGTCTGTAATTTGTATTGCGGTACACCATGACTGCGTTGGGTGCCACAGCTGTCATCAGGGAGTTTTGGCAACTGAATTTGCATTTGTTGATCATTTCTATCTTGTGCTATTTGCTTTTATCTCTAAAAACATGGACTGTAAAATACTAAGGATAGATATTCGTAAAATATTAAGAACAAATATCACTGGCCAGAGTTACAACCTATCTGCACATCAGCAGTATCAGTTTTATGTCTATCAGTATAATTTTTATGCCTATGAACATGTATTTAAAATGCAACAACAAGATATGTTAACATAAAAGCAGATTTCTCTGGAGGTAATTTAAACCCTAGAGGCTAATTTAGTCTCAGTGTCTGCTTAGCATACAGTAAATCTTATCTTTGGTATCAGTTCAGATACCCACACAGGATTTCTGAGGACTCCTCAGGAGAATGCTGACCACCTTCCTCCTTTGATAGGCACCTTACTGCCTTATCCAAGCACCTCCATTGCAACTACACAGTTCTTTTGACAGAAAGGCACAATACAAAAAGACTGCACTCCAAGGGAAGGGCAGTGGCACTCAGGAATCACTAATCATAACACTCACTCATTGGCTGGCTTGTCATTCCTGACAGAAATGCACCCAAATGTCAGGATGGGGCATCAGGAGATGTTCCCTGCAGAGTTCATTGTACAATAAATCGCTTACAAAGGGTCTGTTCCTGGTAAAGCATGAAGGAAGTGCTTAAACTGACTTTTGATTTTGCAACATCAGAATTCCTATATCTCATTTTAGCATTAGCATTTAGCAACATTAGAAAATGAGCAAGTAGTTTTCATAGACTATCAATGAACTCTTTTTTTAGAAAAGTATTGGAAAATGTTGCTTTAGAGAACTATAGAACAGCTTGCAAACAAAAGTTGATTATATCCTGAATAGTATTGCTAATTCTAAAAATAATGTTTATGATCTTGAAAATATTAGCAGTCATTGAAGTTACACTCTAACATGTTCAGCTGTTTAAAATACGTAGTTGCTCCAGACACATCTTCAGCGTGATATACCTAATTAAGTACTGAATTAAAGTGCCTATTTATCACATCCTAAAAGAGCTGTTTTCAGTGCATTTTCTTTCATCTTTCCTCTATTGGGCATTTATTGGTTTTGACTCATTCCAGCATATTATAGCTATCAACACCTGTGCCCATTTAGAATGAATTCCAGTACAAATCATAGTGAATTGAATAGACATCTCAAAGATGCACCACAATTGTTGCAATATATTTAGAAACTCAAACAAGGAAACAAACAAATTCTGTAAAAGTGATTTAAATAACAAATAAGTTATCTTTATAAACAGCTTATCTCCTTGAGAACAAAGAATAAACAAGGCAACAAGAGCTGAGTTTTCTTCCATTATTAACTCAGATCACAATATGAATGGGTGAAATGTCAAGAATAATTGGAGAAAATGACAGTATAATCTTCAGCAAAAACATCTGATTTATTTAAATTGTTAGTTTTTTTCTTAACCTTCCTATGCAAGGCAACATAGAAAAACTTCTCATTTGGATCCATTTGGACATCTTCTACCTAAATTAATAAACCCTCTGCAATGCTATGAACCTTTTGTACACTGGCCAACATGCACAGGAACCCACTGTCCTTTGGCCATAAGCACCTCAAAAAAGCAAGTGTTGGTGTTAACCCAAATGAACAGGACTTTCAAGCAGATTTCTGTGGATTACCATGGTTTATGTCCTGTAAAGGTAACAGATCCATTCTGTGGTACATTGGTACCCTTCATTTCCTGCATCTCTGCCTTTTCCCACCTTCAAAAATGCGGCATTGAGACTGTTTAGAAATTAAATTGGCACTTGTTCAACCCTGCTGCATTATTACTCTGCCAGCTAGCCAAAAGTGGCCTCTAACAGGAATAAAACAGGAATAAGAATGAAGGGTAAAATCAAACCACTCCAGATGTCTCCTCTGGCTTCTAGTGGTATAACTGCATTGCTTTTAGAAATTTGGATGTGCTGAACTGTTTGGGGATGGATGAGTCCAAGAGTCTTTGGGTCTCTGCCAGAACCATTCTGAGTTTCTGCAGGAGGGCTGGGTTTACCTGACTGCAAGACTCCAATATATTCCCACCATGGGAAATACCTTTGGTTCCCAAACACAAAGGTACTTTTGATATAGAATTGACCATTCAGCCTACTCTTGGAAAATGGATTTTGCGGGTAGTTTTCATCAACACAGCTTCCATGAAAAGTCATTTTCCTGGGATTATATCAAAACACTCAGGGGTAGGCTTGATATTAACCTCATCTATTTTGAGACAGTCAAATGTGCTGTTAAAAGTCTACATTGCTTATAAAGCCTCAGGTTAACAAAACCAAAAAAATGTTCCCAAAATTATGAACTTACAGCTCTTTTCACTCTCTGTTTACAGTCTGCATCTCAGTCAGCTCAAATAACTCAATGTGTTAGAAATTTACTGCAGTATTTCAGCTACACAGGATTTCTCAGAATAGGAGTTCACAGTATATGAATGCATATATAAATGTAGATATTACAGATTATGTTTAGAAGCTTAATATTAATTATCTTGCAAGCAGAAGCACAATGCAGACATTCAAACACCATGTTTCAAAGCACTGGCAGCTACTGCAGGGATCAGGAAGTCATTTTTCTACACAAGGCATTTCACAATTAGTTCAATGCCTTGTGGGTTTTGCCTTATCCTGAGTCAGCATTTCCCACAAGTTCTGACAAAATATGCCCATGCTGTCTAAAATGTGCTAATCTAGACACTTGTCAGAAAGGCTGCAGAGTCCTAACTGGATAATGGAGATATTTGGTTTCCTTTCCTCTTAAATGGGACTCTTTCTTTTAAAAAACAAAGAAAGAAACAAAAGAAAAGAAAAAAAAACACTGGAGAAGTATTACTATACAAAATTCCAGAAGTAATCATCCATTAATACTGCTTGTATGGGTCTGTGCTGTGAGAATCTGGTATCCATTTGCTACTTGAAATATGCCAGAAAATCTCTGTGTTTATAGTTGAATAAAACACAGCTGACCTCTCTCCCTCCAGATTTGGAATTTGGCCCAAAATTCATGTCAGAAACAGAATTAAAACTTTATTTTCTGAGTTTATGCTCGCCTTCATACTGAGAAGAGAACCTTTCTAGCATGAAGAAACAACTACATATAGTGTAACTCTGGTCTCATGACCACAGGAAAAAAATGGAACACAGTTCAAAGTAAATGCATTTTCTGAGGATTGGAAGGAAAAAAGAGCTCCCAGGACTCCAGTTAAAAAAGAGCTCCCAGGACTCCAGTTTCCCCCTGCCTTCATTCCTTCTTCTTGCCTCTTCAGCCAGTGTGGCATTTATGCTTTCACATGATGTAAGTGGGGCACTAGTCATGAAGCTGGGTGTCTTCCCCTTTGTCTTCCAGGTCAGAGGAGTAGTATTTGACTTCAGTGGGAAAAGCAGAGATGGGACACCTCATCAAATCACTTCAACCCCTTTATATACCCATGCTGTTGACAAGTGGGCTCTAAAACAATCATTCCCTGTAGCTTTCACAAGGCTCTCCATCACCAGTCATCCCTGATAGGAAAAGCAGACGACAGTATAGTGGTGCTGAGATGGTATGCTGTGACAAAAGCATTCAACTTAAGCCTCACTCTTAGTATCTACCCAGCATGAGAACAAATTCTTTATTCATCACAGACTCAGCAACTTTCCAAATGTATAGTACTGGACACTTTCTTTGTTTTGAACAGATAATTAAACCAGGCTTGGGAAGGAGACAGACAACTTCTTATAGTTAAGACAACACCAGTGCTCTTTCTTTTTCACATTTGCAGTTAGATGTGGCAGCATAGGTAGTATAACAAAGAAAAGCTTTTCCAGATGCATATGTAATCTCAGTAGAATTACTGAGTTTTCTCTTGCCTTGCTGCATGACCAGTCTAATAACTAGTACAAGTCAGGTAAAGCTCCCTTCATTCCTGCTTTGTAAAACTCTTGTCAGCCTTATTTCTGTTTATAATTATAAAGTGAATAGTTGGCAGCTATTAGTGGAAAGAAAGGGAGGTGCACTACTAAGTGGGAGAAATAACACTTAAGAAGTGATGACAAGGAAATTCACAGAAAAGTTACCAAGCAAATCGCTCATGGTATACTGGTTATGGGGATGAACTATTTTTTAACTTTGGGATCAGCTCTGCTTTCTGTTTACCTTTTTATTAACACAGACAACAGCTAACTAAACTTGCCGGATGTTAACTTTGTGTCTCTCAGATGTGATCTGTGGGCAGCCTGCCATTTTACCTACTGCCTACACAGAATTCTGGAAAAAATATCACTAGTTTTCACACAGTCTCATTCAACCTGGATAGTAAAGCAACATCACTAGAACTCTTTCACAAGATGGAAGAAAAAATATATATGCATTTAATTATTGGAGGGGTACTTTTAACAGGTATTTAAAAAGTCTGAAGTCCTCCAAGATGATAAAAAAATTAGAAATAATAGCAGATTGATATAATTTCAATTCACTGATGTTCTAGGTAAACATTGCTCTACTTCGGGAAATACTTCTTTTATTGTAACACACCATGTATTTAATCAGATAAAGAGAAATAAAGACCATATATCTTAGAAGGGGACTATCCTGTCAGTTCTGCTTCTCCCTTTCTCTCATTCTCTTTCTTGCTGTCTGAAGTAATTTTAATAACTTACTCTGTCAACACAATTTTCCTTTCCTATTCTTTACGAACTCTAGCTCTTCAAGCTATGAGGACATAGAATCTGGTCCCGTTGTTAATATTATTATTAAATGTGTATCATTTGTTAAAATTGCAGTAAGTTTTAAAAGGTTTAAGGCTACTACAAAAAACATCGTCACCTCGACTGCAGCTTGGATCAGTGACTTAAGATTTTGTTTTCAACACACAGCTTTTGGTGGGCATCTCCACCAGCCGACGTCTTCAGGGGGCTGATTCCTTTTGCATAACACCTTGCATATACAGCATTTCCCACCCAGTCTTTTCATTCCCCGAAGGATGAGGATCTGCGAGAAGAGCCGAGCCAAGCCAGCCCCTCTACTCCACCGCCCCCACCACCGGCACCCGGCCGAGGGGGTGGGCGGGCCCGACAAACCAGCGCTTCTGGCCAGCGCGCAGCGCCCCCAGCGCCCGCCGGGATTTGTAGTTCCGCGCCTGCAAGGCACGCTGGGTAATGTAGTTATCGGGGGTCGCCCCGTTTGCTCATGTCTGGCGCGG